TTTCTTTAGATCAGACAGATCTGGGTTGCAATCCCTGATCAGCCCCTTGTTAGATTCAACGCCTCTAACAAGCTATGCAATCTCTCTAATACAATAATTTCTGTCTGTAAAACCAGGGAATCAATGTTTTACAAGATAGCAGTAAGGATATGAAATAAATATGCAAGGCATTTAGAAAGAGACTGACACAAAGCAGATAATCTGTTTTGTCCTTTGCTATTTCCCAGGCCTGATAAGTAGTAGAGAATTCGTTGAAAGAATGAATATAGGAGCTTCTCAACTAATGGTAGGCATGATGATTATCATTGTTACCAGTGATTATTTGTTCAAAAAGAACCAACAAAAGTTTAAAAATGCTGTCTCCCCCCCCCCCACCCCAAGCCTTCAAACATGTGTATATATATATCTCTATATATAAAAGCCTAAGTGGCTGGCCAATCAGCTGACCAGCCAACCGGCCAGTAGCTATGACATGCAATGATCACCAAAGGGCAGATGCTCAATGCACAGGCATGGAAACATGGAACAGACTAATGAAATCCAGGGGGGAGAGGGTAGGAAAAAATTAACCAAAGATTTTATATGCATACTAGAGGCCTGGTGCATGGAATCTTGCATTGGTGGGGTCCCTAGGCGTGGCTTGCAGGGATTGTGCTGAAACCGGCCTGGTGAACAGATTCATGCACTGGTCAGGTCCTCAGGCTGTTCTGCAGGGATCAGGCTAAAACTGGCTCTCTGACATCCCCTGAGGAGTTCCAGATTGTGAGAGAGCAGGCCAGGCCAAGGGACCCCACCAGTGCACAAGTCCATGCTCAAGGCCTCAAGTATATACAGTATATTGTACAAAATATATACAAATCAATAGTTTAAGATGAGTGCCATAATGTTATTATAACTTGATTATAAATATTGGCTAGATAATATATAGTTTGATCACTCGCTGTGATATGCACTGACCACCAGGAGGCTGTTCGAAATGAAGGGAGGCCTCGGAAGGCTCCAGTCAGCCCTGAATGCTGGCCAGGCCTATGGACCCTATCTGTGCATAAATTTCATGCACAGGATCTCTAGTGTGTTTTTTAAAAGGAATGTCAGTGTGCCTTAGCCCTAATAGCTTAGCTATGGGCTAAATAGGAGAGGAATACCTATAAAAACAGATCTAAGACAAGAGTGGAGCATGGGCATGGATAGTGGCAATGGGTCTTTTAATTAATCTGCAAATATAACTAATTTATGAAGTATAAAAGATGAGGTCTTCCCTACTTCAGATATGATGAGAATCACTATATTAGAGGAGGGAGAATTCATATCTAGAACTGTGGTGTGTTCATCTTTTGCCTTGAAATAGAAGAAGAGAGAAAATGTACACTCATATCTATATATATAAAAGCTAGTAACAGGAATGGTGGAATGACCAGAATAACCAGAATGACTGGTGGTTATGACATGCACTGCGGTAGCCAACTAGCCTGATCCAGGCTCTAATTGGCTTCTCTTCCTCCACACTGGCCCGGCCCAATGGGCCCCCACTGGGGCAGGCTGGCTGGACCCCACCCGTGCACAAATTTGTGCACTGGGTCTCTAGTATTTTATACTATTAAAACTAGGAAAGATTTGAAGCAATGAATGGTGGTCCATATAAGAAATAGTTTGGTAACATTTAGTATGGTGAGAAGTTCTAGGTAAATTTATAAATGGAATCAGACAGAAAGACAAACAACTTGAGTCCTGGCTTTATCTCCTCTGTTTCCTTACCTTCTTCATGAACCTTCTCTTAATACTTGATCTATCCAGCAAGTATTCCAAAACCCTGCCTTATGTGAGACTGGCCTTGTAGGCACCCACATCATTGTGATGCATTGACCAGCAATGTGGGCTCTGCAGTCACACACTCCTCTATGTATTGTACTTTTCAAGCACCATGACATCTTCATAAATTCCTTAACTTTGCTAAGCCTTGGTTTGCTTATCTGGAGAGTTAGGGAGAAGACCTATCTCCTCACAAGCATTGTTATGTTCCTTGTAATAAATGTAAAGCACAGCACAATCCTTGGGGGGAAGCACCCAATAAGGATGAGCCGGCAGTTATAAATATTGTTGCTTTTCTGAAAGAGACTCTGGGAATGAGTTCTATACATAACTGCTGTAATAAGGCAAATGATTTTCTAAGAAGAAGTTGTCATTAATATCCTGGAGTAAACAGTCTTTGTCTTTTATAAGGTTTACAAATCTCAGGATGTCAAGCCTGCAATTAGGAAACAGATTCTAGTCTCACTTGAAGCTCACCTATTAGAGTTAACAAAGTCTCTGTTTATGTAAATACTCCAGTGCAAGTCTGGAAATCTAGACCTTCAAATGTGATGAGACTATTAATAGTGACTGAGAGTTCCTAGAAAAGGGGAAATATTTAACCATCCGGTTATTAGCTGGAATGTAGATTTTAGACTTTAGTGCATGCCTGATTTTCATGGATGTCGCTTGTAGGGGAGAAAAACTACATAGTTCCAAATTCTATTCCCTTGAAGAAATAAGACCTCTTTTAGAACATAACCATTCCATCAGCAAATCTTGTCAGTGTTTACTAGTAGATGTAGCCAAATTCCAGCCATCTTGTACTCTCCATTACATGATAGGCTGACTTTGGTCCTTCTTCCTTGCCCTCTTCCAATCATCTCTGCCTCCTGTCCCATCTTTCTTTCCCAGAGAGATCCAGCTGCCCTCCTCTTCTTCCTTCCTTAACTCATTCCATCCCCCTGTCTCTATGCCAACACTACCAGATACGCTTTATTTATTTATTATTATTATTTTAAAATATATTTTATTGATTTTTGAGATAGAGGAAGAGAGAGAGATAAAAGCCAAAAACATAGATGAGAGAGAAACATCGATCAGCTGCCTCTTACACATCCCCCACTGGGGATGTGCCTGCAACCAAGGTACATGCCCTTGACCAGAATCAAACCTGGGACCTTTCAGTATGAAGGCTGATGCTCTATCCACTGAGCCAAATCGGTTTCAGTCAGATACACTTTTTAAACATGTTTTTAGCTCATTTGACATTTTGGTACTACTATTTTATGACCCTCCACATTATATCCTCTCATATGAGTGTACTCTTACATGTTCTATATTATTTCTACTTTTGATTTTGACAATTCTTACAAAGAAATGTATCCTTAACAAAATAGAACCAGAGGCATGGATACATGGAACAGACTGACAACTGTCAGAGGGACTGGGGGAGAAGAGGACTGGATGAAAGATGGTGAAGTGATTAGCTAAAGAACATATATGCATAATCCAAGATACAGACAACAATGTGGTGATGGTCAGAGTGGGGGTTGGGTGCAGAAAGACAAAGGGTTGGGGGAAATGGGGACATCTGTAATAGTACAATAAAAAGTGAAGTTCTGTGAACAGCCATACTATTCTAGGACAAATTCCATAAAAATATCTCATCCATATTCTGGTAATAAAAAGAATCCATCTAAGACTTAGAGAATTTTTAATAGAATAATTAGACTTGAACATGTATATGCACATGCTGATAAAAAAACAAACAAAACCTCTGCCTCTAGAAAGTGTGGGGTGCTCTCAGGTCACAGACAGTTTTCTTTATGTGGTTTTTCATGACCTGTTCTCTAGAGCAGTTTGAACATCAACAACTTTAGCATCTGGTTACTCAAGCGCTGCAGGGATATTTGGCCTCTCAAAGCATCATTCATTGGTTTCTAGGCAATAGGTTTGAGAGGTCTAGATGGCTGCTGTTTTTTGATGGGAAAGAAAGAAAATAGCTTTTCATGGAACCACCAAATATGCTATTCTCTAACAGGTAATGGCAAATTTAGAGAATCCTTCTTTATACCAGATATCACAAATTCATTAAAACCCAGGACAAGGCCTATGAAACTCTCTGCTCATCCATCTTCCAGGAAAGATTTCTTCCTACCCTACATTCTACTAGTCCATCCTGAAAAGCCCAAATCTAGTTTGATTCATATATAGCCAAGAGACCTAGTTGGATTCTATGGTTCTCTCTCTGCCCTCCCCACCCCTCCCCATTCCTTTTTCCTTGATTAGATTTGAAATCCCTTTCACAAAGGATTTTAAAATCAAAGGAAGCTAAGCCAACTGCTTGCCTGAAATTTATTTGTGTGAATGACTTTCTGTTAAAATGCAATCACCCAGTCAGTCACCAGGTTTAAAAAACTGATATAGATTTGGTTAGTGTTTCAGGACAAGGTGACTGGTCAAAAGAACAGAAGGGCATTATACAATCATCAATGTGGGTGAAAAGGGTGATGAAGGAACGGCTGGGAACCCATTGCAAATCTCCCAATTTTGTTGAAGGTGGGTCCTGTTTATCTTCAAATGGGTGGGACAAATCAAAATCTTGCACCTGAGGTATTTGTGTTCTGCAGCTGCAAACCCAAAAGCTCTGTCTCACATGATTTTTGAAAATGAACTACTTTTTTTTTCTTTGAATGTGTTTTGGACTTCATACAAAGGAGCATTTTCCCCTGAAGATACATTAATCAAGGTTACAACATAGTCTTAAAAAAGGAAGTCAGATGGAAGGTTTAATTATAATATTTACAATTGAACATATAGAACATTTGCCTGGCTTGCACAGCTGAAGATATAATTAGAAGTTACTCAAGAGAGAACAGGGTTAAAGTGTATAGACATTTCAAACATTAAATCCACTCCCCCCAAAATTGCTCACAAATATGAGGGATTAGTCAATATACTTGAGGCTCTCTGAAACTTTTTAGCAGCCAATAATTTCTTCATGATTGAGTAGTTGTGAGCAAAAAGATTGCTTCCTTTCTCAATGCCATTTTGTTAGACATTTTTAATGAAGTAGCAAATTTGTAGCTTGACATGAAAAGTTCACTGACAATGTACTTGAATTTATAATCCCAGCTGACATATCTGGTTACTTCATTCTTAGATTACTGCTCTTTCTTTATTAGTAGACATATGACTAATGCAAATACCTTTGCAGACACCTGCATGCTGTTTTCTTGCATGTTCATAATGGCTTCAGAGATCTTGACATCTATAGGATCCATGACCGACTCAATGTTGAAAGGTCCTTCCAGTCGCTCTGCCACCAAGAGCATTGCATCTGTTAAAATACAGGAGCATGATTTATTTGAGAACTGAGAGCTCCAGGTTCTTAACCTGTGTTTAAACATTCACAACACGACTGGTTGAAAAATATCCGTTCATTAAAATTTTAATTTGTTTTTATATGGCAAATAAAAAAAAGTGGAACGAATGACTAAATCTTAGAGAAGTATTTTATTTCATTTGAAGACTGACAATTATTTTACATATATAGAAGCAGACCTGAAAATGAGAAAATAAGTTCAAGTTTAGAGAGTAAGAAAATAAACAAAAAGAAAAAAAAATCAAACACAAAAGAAGAAAGTAAGAAAATTGAATATAACAAATTACATATCCTATCTAATAAAAGAATAATATGCAAATTGACCATCACTCCAACACACAAGATGGCCACCCTCATGTGGTCAAAAATGGCCAACCCCCTGTGGACACAAGATGGCTGTCACAAGATGGCTGGCAGGGGAGGGCAGTTGTGGGCAATCAGGCCAACAGGGAAGGGCAATTGGGAGGGACCAGGCCTGCAGGGGAGGGAAATTGGGGAGAACCAGGCCAGTAGGGGAGAGCAGTTAGAGGAGACCAGGCTGGCAGGGGAGGACAGTTGGTGGTGACCAGGCCTGCAGGGGAGGACAGTTAGGGGCAACCAGGCCTGCAGGGGAGGGCAGTTAGGGGTGACCAGACTGGCAGGGAGGGCAGTTAGGGGTGACCAGGCTGATAAGGAAGGGTAGTTAGGGGTTACTGGGCCAGCTGGGGAGGGCAGTTAGGGGTGACCAGGCCAGGAGGGGAGGGCAGTTAGGGGCAATTGGGCCAGCAGGGGAGCAGTTAGATGTCGATCAGGATGGCAGGTGAGTGGTTAGGGGGTGATCAGGCTGGCAGGCTGAAGTGGTTAAGGGTAATCAGGCAGAGAGGCAGGTAAGCATTGGGAGCCAGAAGTCCTGGGTTGTGAGAGGGATGTCTGTGGGATTGGGCCTGAATGGGCAGTTGGACATCCCTTGAGGGGTCCCAGAGTGGAGAGGGTGTAGGCTGGGCTGAGGGACACCCTCCTCCTCCTGCACACATTTTGTGCACTGGACCTTTAGTATATATATAAAAGTCAAGTGACCAGCCAGTAGCTATGATGCACACTGACTACCAGGAGCAGATGCTCAACTCAGGAGTTGCTGAGCTGCAGTCACTTGGCAGAGGCGGTTCTCAGGTGGCTCACCAGTAACCAAAGAGGAGGGAGCCTGATTCCAGGGTGTGTCACCCAAGAACTGCCCTCTTGCTATATGGGACCTCTCAGGGGATGTCAGAGAGCTGGTTTTGGCCTGATTCCTACAGGTCAGGCATAGGGACCCACTGGTGCACAAATCTGAGCACTGAACCTCTAGACCTACATAAAATAAAAACAAAACAAACCATTATTAGGTCAGGGATCCACTCCATCTCAAAGATGGAGTCTAATTTCTTCTGGAGTGTGGGAAAAATGGAGAATATTGGAGAAATGGTAATGTGTTATCGTAATTTGGATGCACAAATGTCATGACCCAACTCAAGCATATCTATGTGTGTGAAGCATTTCTGGATTTCCTGTGAAGAACAGACCTGGTTTGTTCTGTCACTCCACCTAGCACACTATTCTGTTTTGCACTTTGACAACCTTGGGGATAGGGAACGTTATCTTTCTTGGTTTTGTATATTCAAGGCTTATGATGGTTCTTATCACGTTGTAAACTCTCAAAAATGTCTATGATGTTATAGTGAACTGAAGTATTGATTGGGAAGCTTTAGTTTTCTGGAGAAGATGGTGATAATGATATGGAGGCAAAGGCTATGAGTTAGGAGTTAGTAGCCCTGTTTCTTGCCCTGTTACTAACTAGTTAAATGGCCATGGGACAAATTTCCTAGCTTTTGAGTCACAGAATAGAGAAGTGTACAATACCCCTTTCTAGAATAGTTTAGTATATGCCCTATGTTTTCTTTTCCATCTGTGCGTGAATATTTTAAGCATGTAAATATACCATATAATCTGTTTTTTATTTGTTTAATTTTGAGGAGAGAAACACCCATCAGTTGCTTCTCCCTCCCTGACTCCCCCACCAAAAAAACCCAAAAACAAAAAACAACACCCCCCCCCCCCCCCCACACACACACACACTCCTGGTCTGGGTTTGAACCTACAACCTGAGTAGGTGCCCTGATCATCAATCAAACCCACAGTGTATGGGATGACACTTTAACCATCTGAGCCACTTTGGCCATGGCTATGATTTGCTTTTTAAATGTACGTAGTATATTATTAATGTAAAACACTATTTATAGTAGCTATTTTATTGTATTAGTGTAAGGAAAGCAAATTTTATTTTTATTACGTATCCAACCAAGCTCAACTAATGTCCAACATCACCACATTTGCAGGGTTATAAGTAGTGATGAGTGAGGCACATGAGAAACTTTTTAAGACAGACAATTTTTCATAAGAAAGCTGCAGTACTGTCTGGGAAGCAGAGTGAACAGCGTTAGCTTTTACAGGGTCTCCTGGCTCTCTCAGCCCCACCCCCTCACCGAGTTGTTGCTTTACACCTGTGGGATGAGTAACAGCAAATGCATCCAGTGCAGCACCTAGAGCACATGTGTCAAACACAAGGCCCGCGCGGGCCAAATCCGTCCCACCAGGCCTTGCAATGTGGCCCGCACCGCGCTGTCATCACTGCACTCCACTGCGTTTCCATCACAATGACAGTTTATGACTGTTCAGTAAACCATTTGGCCCGCGAATTAGGCTGGATTTTAGATTTTGGCCCCTTCTCTGATTGAGTTCGACACCCCTAACCTAGAGCATCAGGGAGGTCCCTCTACCCCAACTCCACCCCCATTACTCTGCCTCATGCTGTCTTCATGGACAATCATGACTTGGAACACGTAACTGTCAACAAGGACTCACAGAGAAGCTCAACACTTTCTGATTTCTTTCCTTAGGAAATGAAGACCTTGCTGTGTATGTTACAGCAGAAGTAGCAATGTATTTCGATCTTCCTGATCTAATCAGCTGGGGATGTAGACAGAAGGTGCATGTTGTTTGGTTGGAGTATTTTAATATTAAATATGTTTTCTCCTTTAAGGTTTGAAGGAGGCTCACTGGTGCCTGAGAACTGGTATGTTTCGTTTCATGTCTTTATATCGACTTTGTCTGTTCATAAAAAATAATCCCCTTTCCTGTTTGACTTTTTGATGGAGATTAATTATGACACATGAGCCAGTTTCTCTGGACAGGTGTATCCTGCTAAAAGAACCAAGAAATCCTTGTACATGAACACACACACACACACACACACACACACACACACACACACACATACCAAAAAAACACAAAAAACCACCACCACCACCAACAACAACAACAAACAAACAAACAAAAAAAACCAAAAAACAAAAAAAACGCACCCACACAAACTGGCACCATGGAGTTACTAAAAAGTGCAATTAAAGGAAATGATAAGTACTTAATTGTGTTCTTTATATAAGCATTTGCATAAATCACTATATGTACTGGTCTGTCACAGCATATTGATCCAACATGACTGGCTTGAGATAATAATGTGGCTTGACTGGAAGTCTGAAAGCGTTGTGCTCTGGGGAAAAAAAGGACACATTTTTGGGTAGATCAAAAGGACTTAGTATAGTGTCATAATTTGAGAACTAAAACATCTCTAAGAAGGTTCTCTTAATTGGTTACATTAAAGCATTCCCTCTCTCCCAGACCTTCCCTTCAATAAGTAAGGCAAAAACTGTTTAATTCATAACATGAAGTGGGGGAGTTTCTCAATGGTGGTGTCAGTCCTTTTGTTCCCTATTCCTTCTCCTCCATGGTGCATGCCTTTAGGTTCCCGGGTCTGCAGCATTACCTCCTTTCTGATGCTGCCATGGTAAAAGTGCTCAAGGTTACCTTTTTCCAAGCAGCTGCCTGCTTAGTCTTGCAAAAAGGCATGACTAGTGATGACTCTATGTATTAAACATGTAACCCAAAGGCCACACTTACTCAAACAGCTTGCCCCTATATTTCCATTTTCTATCTCAATTCATTTCATTTGTTTTGTAAGTATGCAACTAATTTATAATGATAAAATTTTGATGTAGGTATATATCTACTTACTTTCCTTTTAATTTTTGATCACCAGTCAGAATATGCTACTTTAATCTGATTTTTAAGTCTGGTTTAGACTAATACTAATTAAAAAAAAAAGTATATATACTGAACTCAAAATAGATTGGCTGAAATATCCCCAGATCATTATTAAGAGTAGGAATGTGCATATGATTAACAGTACTGTCATGTGCACTTAAAATGTTGTTAAGAGGGTAGATTTCATGTTATGTGCTTTTCATTTTTTACCACAATAAAAATAGGGATAATAATTGTGCTGATCAACTACAGAAATGGAGAAAAGAGAACTGCTGCTGGGAATATAAAGTGATGCAGCCACTATGGAAAACAGTATTGTGGTTCCTCAAAAATTAAAAATTGAACTACCATATGATCCAGTAATTATGCTTCTGGGAAGTAAAATCACTCTCTTAAAAAGATATCAGAATCCCCATGCTCATTGTAGCATTATTTAAAGTAGCAAAGACATAGAAATAGCATTAAGTGTTCATTGAGAGATGACTGGATAAAGAAGATGTGCTACATATGCCTATACACTGGGATATTATTCAGGCATCAAAAAGAAAGAAGTCCTGCCATTTGTGACAACAGAAAAGTATCTCAAGGGCATCATGTTAAGTGAGATATGACAGAGAAGGCAAATGCTATCTGATTTCACTTTAATGTGGAATCTAAAAAGAAACTGAACTCAGAGAACAGACTGGTGGTTGCCAGAGGCAGAGAACATGGGGTGGGAGAAATGGGTAAGGGTGGTCAAAAGGTACAAACTTCCAGTTATCAGTCTTGGGATGCAGTGTCCAGTATGGTGACTAATAGGTCAGTAATACTTTATTGTATATTTGAAAGTTGCTAAGAGA